TCCTTTTTACAAGTATGTCTTCATTTGAGCCTTGGCCTAAAGAGCGAGTGGTTTCCTCCATGAGAAATCTCGCTGGAAGGGGGAAAACTGGAGTCAACAAGACGGGAGTTGACTTATGAATAAAAAAATTCATGTCAGTGTAAGGTGTCAACACGCCATTGGATTTCGAGTGGCTACCAAAGTTTGACTGGCTAGAGAATATAGAAAAGCATTTATCTGACTTAATAGTGTCGACCAGACTAATTATCAAATATACTACTGGTGTTCATTATGTATGTACAACAACGAGAAAAGACGCCCAAATTGTAGGGAGATGGTTTGGCTCCTATCGGCAAACATCAGTAAGCGGAAGTGAGACCTACTCTTAGCGCTTAAAACCATTTTATTGAAAAAGGCTCCGATGGCCCTCCACTCCCAGAAAATCTATGGCTTTTGATTTTGCCGAAACGCGTCGCTGTGTTTGTTGTTGGTAAGCATTGTTCGAGGCACTTTTGGTCCCGCTTCCCACACTCACAGCTGACAGCTGATACACTGCGTGTCATGGTCTACCATCGTCTTGCTGTATGGACACCAACAAAATCTGATCCAGCAGGGAAACCTGCTGGCACCGGTACACGACCTGTCAGCTTCGGTGACCGTTGGTTTCGGGTTGAAGCCTCCCTCCCCTGACAGGTGCACCACCCAACCGCACACTACCCACCACTGGGTCACCAAGATTATCAGAGTTCGATGCATGTGTAGGTCGGCACGAATCGACTATCTTATCACTCCCTTTGGACCAGGCTCAGTAGTAGACTCCTAATCAGTAATTCTGGACAGGCGAAACAGTAGGGGTATTGGTATCCCCCTGATGAGAGCTTTCGTCGGCTTGAAACTGTTACAGTCCATTTCCCCTAGCCACCCTCTACCTTAGCTGACAAAGTTCAATCTTCGGAGACAATTGATTGCGGCGAGTGATAAAATGGTGGTCTGCCCAGCAACGCTGTGGTAGACGCTGGTGACTTTAGCGTTGTCTTGGTCACCTTGCTATATTAGAAATTTTACACCTCTTTACTAAATACCCGCGAAAACACAACCCTTAATTATTTAATCTTAACGATGAATTTCATTGTACCGGCAATCACTGAAATTGATCGGGCATTCGTATAGGGGAAATACGACCACCCGGCCTTTGGACTTAGAATAGCCACGGAAATGCCTTTGAATAAAAACGTCTTGTCGCATCGACGTAGAACGGACGCACACGCCATTTTCAAAGCGTCTTCACGGAGGCTCTCGCTGCGACAATTTCGGATCGGCCCGTAAAGTAGTCCGATTCGAGATGGCTACGTTGTAGCCCATGGCATATGGTTGCAATTGAATCACCGATATATGGAAGAACGCTCGAAAGGGCACCAAGCATTGGTTCCGGGTTTCATAATATGTAAATTTTTTTTGGGAGCCGCCAAGGCGTACGTACATGTTTTACCTTGTATATTTATAACCAATCAGGGGCAATCATTTTCAGAGGATTATTCGTGAGTTTTAAACGCTGTTAAAAGTGCGCTTATTGATCTCCCCCACAGCCAGGTTTGGTCTATTTCCTAACCTTTTGGTATAGACCATCCGAACGGTCGCATAGAGTGGCTCTCATCCTCGCTTCCAAGGTATGAGAATGACCATTTCAAAAGGTATTAGGCTTGTTTGCAATTTCACTTCGTAGTACACTGGCGGAGGTATTCGATGGATCCATCCCATTCGGTATAGGCAAGCTGAATCTTTCTCATGGTCTCGAAGGATGGAGATGGTTGTTCCTTGTCGATGGTGCTCCTAGCTGTGTATGTGTGATATTCGTACTTCGTTGGTTCCCTGACTAGCCAGAAACTGTCGGGTGGCTCACGGAAACAGAGCGAGAACTTTCCGCCTTCAGATTGAAGGGTCAAGCTTCCCAAGGGTATGTGACATTTACAGTCGCCACAATCTCATCCATTGAGCTCATTACGACTTCAAATATTTTCGAAAGTGACAAAGAAAGAGATGTTGAGTACTTTAACGGATTGGCGTCTCTACGGGCATTATGTGGCCTACCTCTGCATACCAGTGCCCTTCGGCTCCCTTTCCTTCTGTTCCCCGACCATCGTTTCAGGTCTTGGATAGGAGGCCTCAGTGCCCAGCTATTTACAGTCTGTGAGTCCCGTGTAGGTCCTCTTTCATCCAGGGAATGTCGCTCACATCAAGGAATCGCACCATATGCGTGTGCATGCGTCGTGGCGCTTCTCGTGTCATTTTTAGCGGACCGGTTTAACGCACGGTCGCTATATCCCATGTACTGCATGGCAATCGCGGCCATCGCCTTCCTCGTGCAAGACCTTCTTCCTCACAATGCCTATGTATCCCGCTATGTTCTCTTGTACGTTGCGACGTCAGGGTCGTTTGCGGGGATCCCTCCCTTGCTTGATTGGATATCGTCCTATCTTCGCAGCACAGGAGCCGGGGGTCTGGCGATTGCAATGAACGTATCGTTGCAGGCCCGGGGCAGATCATTGGTGTTTGGATATACAAAGGTGAGGTTCAAACAGTATTTGATGCATGGATCGACTCGGACACTAATTTTATTGTCAACTTGTCAGCTGACGAGGTGCCAGGGTATAAAACTGACCATTTGACTAATTTTGGGATCCTACTCTTTGACACCGTAGTGGTTTTAATCTTGAGGATCGTGTACGTGCGGCGCAATTCACAGCTGCATGAACACGCCAGAAAATGGGTGCTTTAAGTCTTGTGACGTTCGTGGCTTATTATGCTGTAAAATGTTGTATATTTATAAGATATAATGCATCCTGGTTGCTTGAGGAAAGATTTGCTAGTTTATACGAGGGATCGGAAACACGTCCATCGTCTCCCAAAGACCAGACATGTCTAATTCAGATAATCTATACTTCATGATATCACTTAGATTCGAAACCCTCAGAGTCGGCTCCTTCCAAATTGATGCACCGCGCTCTCCAATTCCATCACTACCTTCTATAACAAGTTATAGCTGTAAATCTCTGAAAGGAGGCTGGACTAGTCAGCACTGAGAGCCTTGTGTTTGCTGTGCAAGTTAGTCCAATGAGGCTGAAGTCACATGCACACATGCACAATGGTCTTTTTTTTTGATAGCTTTGCAACGGTATACTACTCAAATAAAAATCTTTTGTATATGCAGGCTCAGGGGTTGTTGGAGGTCCGGTACTTCGAGGGTCTTGTGGACAAGTTCTTGTCGGTAATAATCAGATAAACTGAACGTGTCGTGGATGCATCGTGAATAGTGCAGGCTGTTTAGTGTGTATCACATACAGAGGATACAATCCGGAGAGAAGATGAAGGCCCGTTCTTGAATGGGCTGACAGGGAGTCCATACGAGTTGACAGGACCACGGTGTATTGATCTAGAGCGAGACTGGATACAAGACAGTGTAGTGTATGGTGCTGGTGTTTCAAGTACTCCATGCATCTACTATATTCCTATATTCCGTGACATGTACCCAGTGCGATAGATCAGTTGGTATGTATTGAATTTCAGGCTTCAATTGACAACATCTATTGTTTAAAGACGATATGGAAATCCTTGCCTTGAGAACTGGGCTATTCAAGCTCGTGATTAATTTGAATCCACATTATTCGTCTTTTACTTGTGGCTCAAGATGCAATTGGATCTTAATACAGTACCACTGTATGCTGCCGTATTGCAAATTAATGGTAGGTAGTCACTGGCTGTGGCTCGAGACATATTTCATTGACAGCTGGAATGTGTTATGTGTTGTAACGAGATTCTAATATGTACTTACCTTCATTTTAAAGCCCTACGATTTTCTGGCGGGAAGATGCGTACTAATGCGGAGTCTGCTGAATAAAGATGAAGGAAATTCTGTCAAAGACTATATTTCCCGTAACACACGCGCCACGAACCTGCTCTCGGAATGCATTGAAATGGCTCAATGTAAGTAGGTTGAACCCTGCCGATGGCAGAAGACGACAGCCGCAGGCCACGGTAATACTAGGGACAAGCGATTTCTAAGACTCGACGTATTTACCATCATAAAGTCAACATAAATTTTGAGGTCACCTATTTTGGCAGCGACAGGGAAGCCGAGCACTCATCTTCTTTTCAAGTTGCTTTCCCCGGGCCTTCATAAGGCTTGTCAGGGGGCCTTACATCAGTGCTTGTCTCTCTGGTGTGAGGTCGTTATACGTCTCTTATAATATCCACTTCAAGTTGTTGTACTCAGTCGCTGTCTAGGTAGCTGTAAGGCTGTTGTCAATCAGCCTCACTGGGTGTCCGCTGGTCACGCAAGTTGAGAGCACCACGGTATATTATTCAGAACAGACGGGAAAAAAAAAGTCTGCTTATCTAACGTAGTAAAAGGTTCACTGTAGTATGCCTGGGGCGCCAGGCTTACAAGGGCTGTAGAAACCACTGTATTTACCTATAACAGGGCAGCTAATGCCCGCACTATGTACGTTAGTTATTAAGCTAAAAGAGTACTTATAAGTTAACGAGCTCTCCTCGATCGCTGTCTAGGAGGGCTGTAGAAACGGCTGAGGGGCATAGTAATAAAAAAAGTTTATATGCGCGGGTGGAAGCCGGGCTCGTGGCATTTGGTGACGCGTAACGTCCAATCTCATTCGAGGCCATTGGATCTCGATAGACGTTTGAGTGTCTCTGGTTTATCGTCACATTACCAGCATCACCAAATTTCATCAGTTGTGTTTCTTGAAAGGGTACAATGGTGGTATTTTTCAATTTCCATGTGTTTCAACTGCAGGAGATCATAATACGAAATGTTCAAAGAGATGCCTACACAACTTTTTGCTTTCTCGTTGTATGACTGGAACCCTGGGCAGTCCCAGCTGAGGCTGTGTGACCCTTAAGATGACTTAATTGTGCTGGGTCATTGACTTTCCATTCTGTTGTTCAGTGTCATGTTCGCAGGTGCCACACAACTTGTGTATTTTTTTGTTAAAAGTGTAGAAAATGCATAGCCAGACTGAGAATTGAACCCAGGGCTTCTGCATATATAGCAAGGGTGTCCCCAATTACACCACCTGACCCCTGGGGTAACAGTGCTAGCATTACACAATCTAACATTTTTGACATTGGGTATATGCCAGTATATGGTGTATGTGAACAAAAAGCATTAAAATTACTAAGCAGCTGTAAAGTACTACTAAAATATGCCTAACTAATGGTGAACCCATAAGTGTCGGTAAAGTGAGATTATAATCTGATTATTCAATATTTTGACACCTCAGCCCCCAGTTTGTGGTACTTCTGTTCAAGTAAACTCATGTGCATTCACATCTGCACCATGGCCTAGTCTAATCATCTATGCCTTTGGTGTACAGGGCCAACTACTACTCCTCCTTAATTCACAGGCCTATATATCTCATATTCATATGCTCAGATTTGCTCATATTCTGTATCAGTGCTACCCATAGCTCAGTCCTTTACACTTGTCTGCCAGATGTCAACTGAGTGTTACTTATTACAACTTCAACCAGGCACTTGGTTCTTCCATTAGTTTTTGCATGTCTTTTCCTGAGTTCTTGCTATCTAAATCTCTTTCTTAATCAACCTGTAGTGAATTTCACTTTATTCCTGTCATTCATAGCTTTGAGACCCATATCCATCTTTGCTTTTTCTGGGGGTTCTTTTCTGTTATTCTCTCTGTTGTCGCTGCTCCTGAGTGTGGATTCTTCCATATGAACACCTATGTACTTGCCCTTTATGCACTGCATTAGGGCTGCAATGTGCAGTGGGCTGCAGGATGGTTTGGAGACTGCATTGATGGTGGGTGTCTGGTTGCACAGCTGGAACAGACTAATTTCATTAGTCCGCATTCTTTGTAATGGGAATGTTTCCCCTTTTAAGCTCCACCATTGTGGAGTCAGCTCCTGCTGCCTTTTGTCTCTTGCATTGTTTGGGTGGCCAGCCCTCAAGGATTGCTCAGCCTTTCCTTGAGTAATTTTCTTTTTCCCACCATCCCACCCTTTCCTGCTCCTTTATTTCCCTAAAACTCATAGTTTAGATTGATTTTTTCATGTATTTACTATTAGTTTGGTCCAGCATCAACTATTTCAGACTACACAGTGAAGAGCTGAGTGGTTGGGTAGAGAGAGAGCATTAGCTCTCTGCGTGTGTGTGGGAAGACTCACCACTCAGGAGGGTGGTATTCATAACACATTAACAGCTCTCATTACTGTATAATCCGATAAATATGGTAAATATATTACTTCAAAACTGAGGATACTTCATTACTACTGCTGTCTAAGGAAAGGGCCTGGGTGGGTGGGTATAAATTAATCGTATAGATATGTAGAGAAAAGGATCAGATGTCAGTGTTGAGAAAACAGAAAGGACCATGGATCAACAGCAATGTTGTAAGAGAACAAAGGCATGAGAGTCCTTCATACACTCAGCTGGATATTGAGTGCTGAACTACATACTCCCAGCATGCCAGGGATCGTGTGGCACTCGACACTATCCAGTGTCAACTATTTTGGACTACACAGTGAAGAGCTGAGTGGTTGGGTAGAGGGAGAGCATTAGCTCTCTGCGTGTGCATGGGAAGACTCACTGCTCACCCGCAAAGGCCTGCCTACTACTGCAGTGAGACTATGCTGCTCACCCAACCTAGGCAGCTGCATTTCTGATGGACAGGTTTGATATGTGGTGTGGTGTGATTTGTTCAAAGGCCCTTATGTATGTTTCATATGCTAAGGATTTCCACCTGCCAGCTAGTCATACTATCTCAGGGTCAACTCCTTGTGCCAAGAAGAAGGAAGCACCACCAATGTGGAATGAGTGGCTGTTAAGTTCCGGATCTCAGGGCAGAATTTCCAATGGATATTCTGGACACTTCCCAGAAATATGTCCACAGAGTTTCAGAGAATTAGTCTGGGAGTTTCTGGGGATTAGTTTGGGAGTATCAGAATATTACCAGAGTACAGATGGACTTGGCTTCAGCCTATGTGCTGCACCCTCATGCACTCACTTGGATGTCCATATTTCTGAGGATGGATAAATGCCAGAGAGTTTACAGATACTCAGAGGTTCTGGGAGTTCCAGATATCTTGAGTCCAGAGAGTTCCGAAGATTGAGCATACAGATAGACAGAAGAGATACAAACTAATTCGAGATTAAAACTAAAGAGTAAGTACATGACTATGGAAGACTATATATATGTTCCAATAATTGTACTACAAATCTGGAAGTATAATAAGACAGATTAGAATGAAGATTCTGAAATGGGAATACAATAACAAGTCAAATAAATGGGGAAACAAGGATGGGGACAGATCAGGGAATATGTACAAGAACAATAAACAAGCGAATGAATAACTGTTAACCTGTCAGTTACCAAATACGGAACAAGGATGAGGTTCAGACATCTGGGAACTAGAAATGTTCCATGGATGGAAGTTCAGGTCAGAAAGTTATGGAAAGTTACAGAGAATTGAAGTATCCAGAAATGGGTCATAACAGAAGGTTGGTCCACAGATCAAGGTATCTAGAATAAACACTGGGAGTCCGACTGGAAGTTCAGGCCAGAAAATGACTAGGGACATATGGAGAACTCAACTGCCAAAGGGCAGAGTCTGATGAGTTCCAAGTCATAACAGGAGGTGTCTAGTTGGGAGGGTGTTTATAATTACTATAATCTCAAATATTTACTAATAAAAGTCTTATTTTTACAAAACTCCATCTTTAAATAGTGATATCTATTCTGAAACAATTATATCATCAAAAAACAACCATCAGAAATAGTTCTCCATATTACATCTTATACAACCCATAGTTATTTCACAAATTCCATTGTATATAATTTCCTTCCTTTTACAGATGCCTACTAATACTTTTATTAGTACTTTGTTTTTTAAAAGTTGTAATGTAGTTATTTCCATGTAAAATATGTAAAATATTATTGGAAATTTTTCATACCATAGCTGTCTTTATTAAGTAAAACCCCCTATATATTCTGGGTATGTTGAATCAAGTAGAAATCTGTTCAGATTGACAGATCCATTCCAAAGTAATACATATGTATTTAGAGGTGCCAATGATATACATATGCATGGAATGGACTATCTAAAGGTATCTATTTTTTAAAAGTATTAGTGTTTCAAACTACTAATTTTTTTTATTGTCTACTTGTGTCCGGAAAGATTCTTTAATTTGTAATGTATGAGAGAGTTTAAAACTTTTTGAAAGTTTTAAAAACCAAATTATGTTTGAATCACATTTCAGATGTTTAAATGACCTTTAGAGTATATTAGAATTTGGTATACTTAATTAATAGTTTTCAGATATCCTCCTTGAGGGAGAATACCAGAATGGGATTTAGATTGAAGGGTACTTCAGGGATGAAGGTCAGGTTTCCAGTGGATTCTGGATCTTGATACTGGTCTGGAAGATGGTTCTGAACTTGATATGATTTCTGGGAAATACTCTGAGGAGTCTCTGGGAATGGAACTTCACAGTGTCCAAAGGCTGTGCCCCATCTGCAAGCCTGGAGGATTGAATTAATCCAGTGAAGTGCCACCTTTTTAACTATTGGTCTGACATCTCCTTTGTAGTCCCACCAGCAAAACAAAGGATTGTCTGGCCCTGCTGGGACAACTTTAGCTAAATTGATCAAGGCATTGAGACTCCCTGTTGGTCTGTTATAAATACTGACTGTGTCTCTCCAACTTTGGCTGTCTTTGCAGATGGTAAGTCTGAATGTGTGTAGTGTTTTCCATCATTGTTGTGGCTAATTAGAACATCCCTTTGTTTCAGGTGTTTGGTGGTGCCAAAGTGCAGTCTGGATGACATGGTAACCTCCCCAAAATGCATTAGTCCCCAGTAGGCGCATGAAGCCACTGCCCAAATGTATGTGTCGAATGCATCACTCAGGTCCAGGATTGACTTCAGTGCAAATAACATCTTTAACTGTGTTGGGGGTCGTGAGGGTCACTTTCATGCCATGCCTTATAAGTTCTCCAATCCTTGTAGTGACCATTCAATTCTTGTACACTCATCATCAGTGGTGATGGCCAACCTTATGCTATGTGCCATGCCCTGTCAGGGGACAATCTCAAGTTTTCTAAATTCATCCCTGACCTTCCTTAATATAGTCTCATAAGTCAAGGATAAGAGTACCTTGTTTTTATCACATTTTCAAACTCAGCTGCACCTTTAGTTAGTCACTCGCTAGCCGAGGGTTCCTTAGACTTTTCTCTTCGGATTCTCTCTGCTAGGTAAGTAATAATGTACATTGTATGTATATAAGAGATAGGTATAAAACTTACTTCGGATTCCCTCTGCTAGTGCCCCAACTCAGTCATAGTGCGAGTCAGTGTGGTCTAGAGAGTCACCCTTACAGAAGAAAAGTCTCACATCGAGTGACCGGAGTCACCGCCGCTATTTTTCAAACCATATTCAAGATCGCGAATTCAAACCTTTATACAGATCTAATCTACTTCGAGTTTACACGCGGTCCCCTCCCCTCATTTTTACTATTATGTCGACTTCTATTACCGATCCCCACCAGGTGCTGGAACAGCACAGTAACGACATTAGAGATCTCCAAGCCTCCCAGAAGCAAAATACAGACCTGTTGCAGCAAATTCTTCAGCAACTCACTGTACAAACACAACCACCAACGAATCCTCCACAGCCGCCCGCGTTACCTACATCGACCTCTGCTGCCGTTTTGACCAACTCAGGCCTGAAGGTTCCACTTCCGAATGCGTACGATGGTGATCGATCTGGCAGACGTACCTTCTACAACTCGTGTCTGCTGTACATCAGCATGAATGGGTTGAAGTTCCAGACGGACGAGACGAAGGTTCAATGGGTGGTGTCGTTCATGAAGACAGGTCGAGCCGCCCTTTTCGCAAATCGGCTCATGAAATCGTGGAGTCAAGGAGACACGGTGCCATCGTGGGAGCCCTTCGTGCGGACCTTCGAGTGCGAGTTCTTTCCAGCTGATGAAGCAGCTATGGCCCGTATCAAGTTAGAAGGAACGACGTACCATCAAGCCCGAAGAACGGTCGACGAGTACACAGAC